CTCTAGTTTAGTTACTGCTTTACCGACCGCGCTGGAAGCCAATTCTTCGTTTATTGCACAGCTGAGGGCATGCGCAACCGAATAGGGCGAATAGAGAGGAAAAGGTGATAAGATCAGGCCATAGTCCCGTTTTAAAATATAATCGCGTGATGTAGAGCTTTGAAAGCTTCCTTATTTTTTTTGTCGTTGGGAAGTAGTAAAGGTTAAAAGTACAGCTCAGCATGTCAGATATATTTGAAGCGCGTGCGAGTTAAGTTCATAACATTTTTTTTCTTTCTTTGCAAATAATTTTTGCAAAGACATCAACGACCAAGGCTGCAATTGTGGTACAGTTTGGAAGTGTTCTTTTGGTACGCTAATAGAAACCAAAAACCTTCATACAACTCGACCCACTAACCTATTGTGATTCGGGGTGACCCTTAAAGAAAAGGTATTTATATGTGCTAGTGTTGAGACTTGGAACTAATTAAGGCTTCCACAGTTTCGTGCCTGCTCAGTTGACTAGATTTAGACGTACTAGTCGGCACTACCAGAGGGGGAGATCGGACCAGACAAGGGCAACACCAAGAGCACGTGTCGCACTTAGCAACCCAGCAGAACCAATTTTGTTGCTATTTTACTTATCAGCCGCTGTCTTGCGAAGAACAACATCTGGCATAGCCTCGGAAAACGGCGTCAAGCGGGTGAGAAACGCTTACTATTTATGCAGCACCATCGGGACCGCATGCACTAAGCATATAGTGTAACCTGCAGAGAGTAACAAAGGAGCCGAGTCTGTATTACTTTTTGGTGTACCCCTTTCGCTTGCTTAGCAGCATTGCCATATAATTCCATTAATTGTTTAACGTTGCCAAGATGGACGGCTAATAGATCCTTAGTTTTAATTTTTATTTCCTTTAATTTTTTTTTTTTTCTTTTACTAATTTCTTTAAAAACAAAATGTGCAATGAATATGCCTAAATAAGTTGAAGCGAGAGGAAATTCCTACACCACCGACCTTGACCGTTGCTCATATATATATATATATATATATATATATATATATATACATGTGTTTATATACTTATAAATTTCTTTTGTAATATTTAGCAACAGCGATCATAATCGTCGTATACATTGGGCCCAACGTCTGCTTCGAAGGATATATCGCGTGAGTAAGAGTTTAAACCAATGCCTATAGATATATGTAATTATATACACACATGAACATTTAAATGCAGTTAATTTAGCAAGACGGTAAATTAATTACTATCCGTCAAGTCTCAAGATAATGTTGGTGAATTTCTCCTTCCCCTTAATTTCTTTATGGGATTTAAACTAGTTATTGCACATTCATCATATTAACTTTGGATTCAAATTTTGTTGGAAACTGTATATTTTTTTCTTGTAAATAGAGTTATACTCACCTTGCTATTAATTGGCAACAAAATTGAACAATGCGTGAATAAACGAATTATATTAGCTTATATGATATGATATCCTAATTCCATAATAATTGTTTTATCTGTCAAGTACCCATGTTAGCCGCTTGCAATTTATAGTGATGGTTTAAAAACCTGAAATAGGGACAAGCATCCACATTCCATTTTTTTTTTGCTTGTCAAGGTAGGGAGGGTAAAGAGAAAGAGAGACGATCAACACCTTAGTTCTCTCACTTACGCGAAATTGAATAGTTTGAATTTGGGTGTTCGGTCGGAACACATTAATGGTACCCATACTAGAATCCGGTTTTTTTTTGTTTCAATGGATTTACTTAAATCAATAAGTTTTTTTTTTTATTTTTTTGATCGCACTTAAACTATGTGTTTATGGTAAGTGCAAAAGGGAAAGGAAAAAACCCCGACCAGTCCGACGAGCTATTGTCCGAGTATTAGCAAGAAGTGCGAACCTCCAATCCCTATGCACCCGGTTAGGCAACAGCCACGGCCGTTTGTTTTTATTTTTGGTAGATGGCCAAACGAAAGGCAAAAACTGAACCCGAACCTCACCACCATTACATATATGGCGCCCAACACGTGGGACCCTAGCAAGAACGTAAAACTTTTACTTCTTGCGTAAGCACGACTAACACCTAGTGCACAACAATCCCCAATCGAAACTCGAAGTCATACCATATCAATTACTACCTATTATTTTTTAATTACCCTGTTAGGCCCCTTTCTCGGGAAAATACGTTGTGTTCAGACAGTAGTTAGTTGTAGGAATTTGCGATTGTAATTCAGGCATTGCTGGATTAGTCGACCACAATTAATTACTAGTACTTTAAGCAGCGGGTAAGATCGGAAAAGAGGGAATAATAATCAAATTTGGGTTAATTGTTTTCAAGGACTATTTGGAATTACAACAAACTGGAAATATTTCGGATGTTGTCTAGTAGTCCATGAGCAGTAAAAATCCAAATCAGAAATAGACTCCAGTAAAATAAATAGCACAAATTCAACTACTCAGTTTGCTTAAGGATTGTAAGCAATAACGTGGGGAAAAAGACAGATAGAATAAATAACCAAGACTTAATAATACAAGTCCTATTTAGTTTTCCTTTGTTGTTTGGAAACAAGCAAAAGTTTGCATTCATTATGGCAGTGAGACGAAGCACAGAGAGCATAGTTGCAGCGATTAACGCGCAAGATCCATTTTGTGGCATTTGCCATGAGCAATTGCAAGCAGAACAGCTATCTGCGACTACTCCTTGTCAACACCGTTTTCACGACGTTTGCATAAGCAATACACTAAAGACAACCCCAAAATGTCCAGTATGTGAGGCAGATTGCAACCCAGGGCAACTAATATTTATGAACAATACACTGGCAGCGGAGTTACACTCAGCTGGTAATGCTGAAACAGACGAAACTCTATCGCGAAATACTCTACCTTGCCAAGATGGTTCGACTACTACAGGTATCAGGAGAGGTCAGCGATTCGGAAAAGGGCGAGGAGCCACGCCCAAGCGAAGTATGCAAACTAGGTCTATGAATCGAAATCATAGAGAATATTTAGGTAGTTGCATGTCTTTAGGCAGCAACGGAAATAAGTCAGTGGACAATGGTCCAAATGTAGAGACAATTACCTATATCAACGAAGCTCTACAATCTCAGCAAAGGACTTTAATAGCAGAACTCAAAAACGTTATTAAAGCTTCTGTTGAACAATCACTGCAGAGAAGTTAGCAACATTAAATGTACGAAGTGAGCAAGCTGAATCAACACGCTCTAGATTAGTTCAGTCTCCAAGGGGATTAGGTGCTGATACTCTCCCTAATAGTGCCCAGAACTCTGACATACCCCTTGACTGCGGACCATACAGCCCCAGAGGTAGCAATCGATCAAACTCAAGTTTGAGTTCAGAAAAAGCAGCTAGCATTATGCAAACCTGGCGACTTAAATTTGACGGTTCGAAGACTCTATGCAGATAGATGAATTCTTGTATCGAATTCGTTCATTAACGGCTCAAAATTTGAACGGCGACTATAGGCTGCTTTGTGACAATCTTCATTTACTTTTCTTCGGGAAAGCCAATGATTGGTTTTGGAGCTTCCACAAGAAAAACCCACAGTATACCTGGTTGGCTTTCTGTACGGATTTCCGACTTAGATTCGAGGACGTTAAAGACGACTTTGACTTGTGGGAACTAATTAGGAAAAGACGCCAGAAAGATCAGGAGACATTTGATGATTTTCAATCAGCGATTGAAGGCCTGGTTAGCCAATTATCTAACGAAATAAGCGAAGCCAAGCTTGTTGACCTATTAAAAACGCAATGCGAGAACAGCGCTCAGGTACGAACTATTGCATTTGAAGATTAGAACTCGAGCAGAATTAAGAGAGGAAGTTAAGAAACATGAAAGTTTCTGTAGAGAAACTGGCTCGTTTCCCAATCGAACCAAATACGGTAGAGGTAATGTCTCTGAGTTACTGGAAAATAATGATATAGAAGATAATATTTCAGAAATACAGAACAAGAAAATAGTGTGCTGGAATTGCGATAAAGTGGGACACCGATTCGATGACTGCATGGGAGAAAGGCGTATATTCTGCTACGGTTGCGGTGCTAAAAATACTTTTAAACCCAATTGTAGCAAATGCAATCTTTTGGGAAACCGGAAGCGGGATGCGCAGACCAACACCAGTTTGACGCATCCCACAAAAGAATAAAGTCCTTGCCAGAAATACAGTCATATGGTAGTTTGGAGCAATCAACTCCAAATACTATATTTACAACTTATATGGCAAATACATGTTCAGTCGCCGAGACTGCAACTCAAACTGATATTGAAAATAAGTACGTACCGTACCATATTAGAGTAAAACACTATCTTGACACACGAAGACGAATTTTTAGCAGCATAGAACCCATCGAATTTCTCAGTCGGCCAAAACGCTCTACTGTTCGACTTAGGAAATTCTGGAAAAATATTAAAAGTCTTCGTAAGAAGCTCGTTCAATCAGTGTTTATGAGCTCAGATAACCGCTTGTACACTGAGTTAAGCCTAGAGGGAGAAAAATATGTAGCATTATTAGATTCCGGAGCGACGATTAGTTGCCTCGGTAATGTTGCAGCTAAGTCACTGTTGTCACATCCCAAAGCGCGCAAATGCTCTGGATCAATCCGAACAGCTAACAACGCTATTTGCCCAGTGGTAGGCAAACTGACACTTAAAGTTGAATTCGAAAACAAGCGCATAATGTTGATTTTTATGTTATACCCGATTTGAAACAAGATGTTTACTTAGGCATAAATTTTTGGCAGGACTTTGGACTGTTAACGAATTTAATTCGTCCTGATGAGTCCGTAAATGAATTAGACAACAGTAACGAACAGGATATCCAGGAAACAGCGAAAATGCATCAGCTAACCGCTGAAGAAAAGTCACGATTAAATTCGATCATTTCTAATTTCTATTCTTATGAAAAGGAAGGATTAGGACGCACTGAGTTAATCGAACATCGCATTGAAATAGATAATGTGACCCCCGTCAAACAAAGACATTGGCCTATTTCGCCAGCCGTTGAAAAGCTAATGTTTGACGAGATCGAGAAAATGCTAGCTTTAGATATAATAGAGGTATCGCATAGCCCCTGGAGCAGCAACTGCGTCCTTGTGCAAAGAAAGGATAAAAACAGGCTGTGTCTAGATTCTCGAGTCATAAATAAGTACACTCGTAAAGATGCGTACCCTCTACCCCATATCGACGGAATTCTTAGTCGTCTGCCGCCGGCTAAATATATAACGGGCCTCGATATGAAGCACGCATTCTGGCAGATACCCCTAGAAGAAAAATCACGTCAGTATACCGCTTTTACAGTCCCTAATCGTCCATTATTTCAATACAAAGTAATGCCGTTTGGATTGTGTAACGCTCCTCAAACGCTTTGTAGACTAATGGAACGCGTGATACCAGCCCATTTGCGGACCCGCGTATTTGTCTACTTAGATGATTTACTTCTGCTATCAGAGGACTTCGATTCGCATATGTTGCTTTTGCAGGAAGTAGCGCTGCACTTGCGTAAAGCGAACTTGACAATCAACATCGCAAAATCAAAATTTTGTATGCGGGAAATTAAATATTTGGGCTTTATAATTGGGTATGGTCAACTAAAGACGGACCCTAGCAAAATACAAGCTATTAACGAATTCCCTGTACCAAAAAGTGTAAAACAACTGAGACGTTTTCTTGGACTCGCTGGATGGTATAGACGTTTCGTTAATCATTATGCAACAGTTTAGCTTTCCGCTTACAGAGTTGCTAAAGAAATCGAAAGTATTGAAATGGAACACTGATGCTGATTCCGCTTTCAACACCTTAAAAACACTTTTAACTTCTGCACCTGTATTGGCTACACCCGACTTCTCAAAACCTTTTAGATTAGTTTGCGATGCTAGCACAACTGGTTTAGGATGCGTTCTAGCTCAACTAAATGAACAGGAAGAGGAGGCTCCAATAGCATACATGTCAGAGAAAACTGTCAAAGGCCCAACGGAATTATAGTGTGACCGATCTGGAATGCTTAGCCGTAATAAGAGGTATTTTTAAATTTAGAGCGTATATAGAAGGACAGGACTTCGAAGTAATAACTGATCATGCTTCCTTACAATGGCTCATGAGACAGAAGGATCTCAGAGGACGTCAAGGTAGATGGGTGATCAAATTACAGGGCTTCAAGTTTAAAGTCTCGCATCGTAGCGGTACACAAAATGTTGTCGCTGATGCGCTATCGCGTCAAAATGAGACAGAGCTTGCGGAATTCGAGGAGCAAAGGTCCCATAGTTGACCTGTCTTCACCCGAATTCAAATCGCCAAACTATCTGGATCTGATAGACAGTATTTCTTCTAACCAATCCAGATTACCGGATTTACAGATAATCGACGGTTTTATATATAAACGTACTGAGCCAGCGACGGGATATAGCATTCAGGAGAAACAATCCTGGAAACTCTGGATACCTTCGTCTCTCACCCTACAAGTGATAGAGAGAGCCCACAATCCCCCTAACGCTGCACACAGTGGCATCGGAAAAACAATAGAGAAACTCAAGAGATACTTGTTTTGGCCAAAAATGTCGGCCCAAATTCATGAATATATAGTCAATTGTAAAGTTTGTCGGCAAACGAAAAGCCCCAATGTAGTGTTGAGACCTCCAATGGGCAAGCCTATGACGTCAGAACGGCCATTTCAGAAGCTCTACATGGATCTTCTAGGGCCATATCCTCGGTCCAAGAACGGCAATATAGGTCTCCTGATGGTTGTAGACCACAATACTAAATTTCATTTTATGTGGCCTCTTCGCGCGTTTACTACCAACAAAATTATCGACTATCTAGAAAACACACTGTTTTGCACTTTCGGCGTGCCAGAAACTATTCTGACCGACAATGGCTCTCAGTTCATTTCTAGTGTCTTTAAAGCTTTTCTTACCCGGTATGGAATCATCCACATTCGAACGGCAATATACTCGCCACAAAGTAATGCGAGTGAGCGAGTAAATAGATCAGTATTAGCGGCTATTAGAGCCTATATCGGAAAAGATCATTCAAATTGGGATAAAAAGCTGTACGCCATTTGTGCTGCCTTGAGAGCCAGCGTTCACCAAAGTACAGGGTACTCTCCATATTTTTTAGCGTTTGGACAGAATATGATGTTAAACGGTAAAGACTATGACTTGCTAAAGCGACTTAACCTCTTGTCCGAAGACACTGCTATTGAGAGGCCCACAGCCTTACAAGTAATCCGTCAGATAGCTAAAGACAATGTAGCTCAGTCACATAATAGAAATGCTAAGATATATAATTTGCGCAGCCGAAACATAAGTCTTACTGCCGGTACGAAAGTCTTCGCCGCAATTTTTGTCAGAGTAACGCGCAAAAGAAGTTTAGTTCTAAGCTTGCACCAGTTTTCATTCCGGCGATTGTTGTACAAAAAGTCAGCCCAGCCTACTATCAACTAGCTAATGAAACAGGTAAATGCATCGGTACTTTTCATCTCAAAGATATACAAACTAGTAACAAGTTCTAACTCAACAGTTATTATAGTTATTTCAGTTTATGTCCCGCTAGCAAGTAGCGCTGCATAAACTGTGGTGTAGTGGCTGCTTTGCACTCCCCAAACGAATCTGCTTGTTGATCAGCTGCTCTAGTTTAGTTACTGCTTTACCGACCGCGCTGGAAGCCAATTCTTCGTTTATTGCACAGCTGAGGGCATGCGCAACCGAATAGGGCGAATAGAGAGGAAAAAGGTGATAAGATCAGGCCATAGTACCGTTTTAAAATATAATCGCGTGATGTAGAGCTTTTGAAAGCTTCCTTATTTTTTTTGTCGTTGGGAAGTAGTAAAGGTTAAAAGTACAGCTCAGCATGTCAGATATATTTGAAGCGCGTGCGAGTTAAGTTCATAACATTTTTTTCTTTCTTTGCAAATAATTTTTGCAAAGACATCAACGACCAAGGCTGCAATTGTGGTACAGTTTGGAAGTGTTCTTTTGGTACGCTAATAGAAACCAAAAACCTTCATAACAACTCGACCCACTAACCTAATTGTGATTCGGGGTGACCCTTAAAGAAAAGGTATTTATATGTGCTAGTGTTGAGACTTGGAACTAATTAAGGCTTCCACAGTTTCCGTGCCTGCTCAGTTGACTAGATTTAGACGTACTAGTCGGCACTACCAGAGGGGGAGATCGGACCAGACAAGGGCAACACCAAGAGCACGTGTCGCACTTAGCAACCCAGCAGAACCAATTTTGTTGCTATTTTACTTATCAGCCGCTGTCTTGCGAAGAACAACATCTGGCATAGCCTCGGAAAACGGCGTCAAGCGGGTGAAACGCTTACTATTTATGCAGCACCATCGGGACCGCATGCACTAAGCATATAGTGTAACCTGCAGAGAGTAACAAAGGAGCCGAGTCTGTATTACTTTTTGGTGTACCCCTTTCGCTTGCTTAGCAGCATTGCCATATAATTCCATTAATTGTTTAACGTTGCCAAGATGGACGGCTAATAGATCCTTAGTTTTAATTTTTATTTCCTTTAATTTTTTTTTTTTCTTTTACTAATTTCTTTAAAACAAAATGTGCAATGAATATGCCTAAATAAGTTGAAGCGAGAGGAAATTCCTACACCACCGACCTTGACCGTTGCTCATATATATATATATATATATATATATATATATATATACATGTGTTTATATACTTATAAATTTCTTTTGTAATATTTAGCAACAGCGATCATAATCGTCGTATACATTGGGCCCAACGTCTGCTTCGAAGGATATCGCGTGAGTAAGAGTTTAAACCAATGCCTATAGATATATGTAATTATATACACACATGAACATTTAAATGCAGTTAATTTAGCAAGACGGTAAATTAATTACTATCCGTCAAGTCTCAAGATAATGTTGGTGAATTTCTCCTTCCCCTTAATTTCTTTATGGGATTTAAACTAGTTATTGCACATTCATCATATTAACTTTGGATTCAAATTTTGTTTGGAAACTGTATATTTTTTCTTGTAAATAGAGTTATACTCACCTTGCTATTAATTGGCAACAAAATTGAACAATGCGTGAATAAACGAATTATATTAGCTTATATGATATGATATCCTAATTCCATAATTAATTGTTTTATCTGTCAAGTACCCATGTTAGCCGCTTGCAATTTATAGTGATGGTTTAAAAACCTGAAATAGGGACAAGCATCCACATTCCATTTTTTTTTTGCTTGTCAAGGTAGGGAGGGTAAAGAGAAAGAGAGACGATCAACACCTTAGTTCTCTCACTTACGCGAAATTGAATAGTTTGAATTTGGGTGTTCGGTCGGAACACATTAATGGTACCCATACTAGAATCCGGTTTTTTTTTGTTTCAATGGATTTACTTAAATCAATAAGTTTTTTTTTTATTTTTTTTGATCGCACTTAAACTATGTGTTTATGGTAAGTGCAAAAGGGAAAGGAAAAAACCCCGACCAGTCCGACGAGCTATTGTCCGAGTATTAGCAAGAAGTGCGAACCTCCAATCCCTATGCACCCGGTTAGGCAACAGCCACGGCCGTTTGTTTTTATTTTTGGTAGATGGCCAAACGAAAGGCAAAAACTGAACCCGAACCTCACCACCATTACACTCTGCACACTTAAAATGAAATGTCCTTCATTTAAAGGGTTTGCTTTGATTATATGTAAGTATCACATTCTCACTCTAATTAATGTCATGTACTTTCTCTCTCTCTCTCTCTCTCTATCTCTTTTTATTCTCTGGCCTTACTCTAACCCAATCTGTAGTCTTTTTGTGCTTTTAGTGAATTGCTTATAGAAACGTCTGCCACCTTTCTACCAAATCTTGTGTATGGAAATATGCACATTCTGTAATATAGAAAAATGTTACAAAGTTCAAACCCTACTCTGGCATTAAGGATGTGCGGCAGCGTGAACCAAACCACCGACCATTTATTGTTGCATTCGTAGCCCCTTTCTGGAATATTTTAAAAAATAAATTGGAGCACGACCGAGTAATAGTCTTATGTGCAAATGCCTTTACTGCATACATATGTACGCAACAAATTGTCTCATTTAAACATAAAATCGCTTCTGATTTAACAATTGCTTTGTCAATAACAATTTGTAGAGCTGTCAGCTGTGTAGATTGAGATTCTAATGAATGAGTGACTGACTGCTGCAACTACTATTTGATTAGTGCGCGAGGCCAGTAGCTAAAGCAATTGCCAACCCATTCTCTACAACAAATCAACGTTACAATGGCAAAGGCTTCCAGTGCTGGCTGCCATGTTCTCCAAAACGGCAGCGGCGGCAAATGTCCATCAAATGTCACGATCAAATGCTGGCTGGCAGATCAATCGATTGGAATCGTTGGAATCGTGCAGGTAATTACTTGCGACACGCAACTAAAGAATGGGATATTGAGATCTGTTCTCAGCAGTTGCAGTTGCAGTTGCAGTTGCTGATGCAGTTGCTGATGCACTTCCTCTATCACAGTTGCTCGGCACTTTCGCTTGACCTTGCCTAAGCCTTAAAGTGGGCACAAATTTTGCCAGGTACCAACAACTCGGACAGCTGTGTGCGGCGCATCAATGTCAATGTCAATTGTTTGGCCAATTGTCTAGAGGGCGTTGCCTCATCCGCTGCTTAGCCGGAGATTAACTTTTGCATCCAGGCGAGTCCAACACATGTTGCAAGTGCATGTGTCCAGTGAGAACATGTGCAACAGCATCTCAACAATAGGCCATCGACAAGGTTGGAGAGTGGTGTGGGGGGTCACACTGGCCGCACAAAATTATGTTGCCAGTGTTCGCAGCGGCAATTATTTATTATCCTGTTTACGCCCGAAGCCAATCGCCATCTTCTTTGCGCTTGTCTGTTCGCCCTGTCGTCATAACTCTCTTGCATCCACTCTCCACTCTCCACTCCGCTCTCCCTCTCTCAACAATCGACTACGACTACACAGCGCAAATCAGAGTCGTCGCCATTGCCTGGGCAACATTTTCAACTTCTTTTCCTCCACTTTTGTGTTTCATAAATTTTTGTGGTTGCTTTATCGTTGTTGTTGTTGTTATTGTTGTTGCTCTGGGCTACGCTTTGCCTTTGTTGTTTTTTTTTTTTTTTTACTGCTGCCCGCTGTGGCTGAGATTCATTCGGCTGTCGCCTTAGCTATGCGAGTGTGTGTGTATGTGTGCTTGTGAGTGTCTCCTCCCATATTCCAGTGGCCAGTTGCAGCAGCCACTCGCATTGCTCACTCGCCGCCTTTGAGTTTGAGTGCAATTTTTGTGAGTTAAAATTTACTGTCGCTGCTACTGGCTACAGTTCCATTTCCAGTTTGTTGCTGGACAGTGGCACTCCAGTTGTCGTCATAGCCACTGTGAACCCAAATACTACTGTGTGAATTGTGAATATGTATGTTCTGTGTAATCACATCTGTATGTGCTTACGTAGTTGGCTCTTATTTTTTACCTTTTTATTAACATTTTGTCTGAATCAATGAGTTTTTGTTTTTCACAAATTTTTACATATTGAAAATTCAACTTTTTTGATATATTAAAATACGTTAATTAAAATTTCATGAAATTATTAAAAAGCTACATTTTTATATTTAATTATAACTTTATTTTTATCTTATTAAGTTAAATCGATCAGCAAAAAGTCTATATTCATATCCAATGTAGGCAATAGTTCATATGGATCGATATTGCGTTACGCCCATATTTTCTATACAATATAATATTGCAAAAAATAATAAGCAATAAAAAGGTATAATATTAGTTTTTTATATCTTAATTGTTAAAATAATGATTAATGAATTTTAATAATGATTATAGTTCTAAAAATGTGATCAAATATCAGCGACATCTCCAATTAATAATTTATTTTATTTGTAATAATGTGTTTAAAAATAACAAAGCTCAGTTTCAACATCGCTAAACTATGTTCGTTATTTTAGAATAACCCAATTTTATTTTATTAATTTTTTTAAACAAATCAATTTGTTAATGTTATAATTTTTCTGATCATTCTGGAAGCCTTAAAGTTACTTTTCATTTTCAAAATTGTATTTTGTTTATACATTTTTTAGAATCCTTCTTGTTTAGGAAATGGTGCACTCTCTTTTCACTCGTTCCCCCCCTTATCTTTCTTCTATTTTACATATGTATTAATATCGCATTATCATTTGTTCTCGTGCCTCCATAATTTTCCTAATCAACGATTTTCCATGTGAAGGTTGCATTGTCATTGGCCTCTTGCGCCCTCGCTTGCCCCCACTACCTCCGCTCTGAACGTTTTATTGCGTTGATTTTGAAAATGACAACACAAAATGCAAAAATGTTGTTGTAGTTTTCCCCCCTTTGCTTGTTTGTTGCAAATGCACTCACACACACACACACATCAGTTGGCCATACACATGCATATTCATGTGCGTGTGCCCTTCACCTACACTCCCCCACTCCAACGCCCCTTTCCTCCACACCCCTGCATCTGCATTGAATGCATTTTCAATGGCATTTTCATTGCAATTGGCTTGTAATTGCTATATTTAGCCTAATGGCAGCCAAGAACTCGGCATTACGTCTGACTCCATAACTGTTTACCTGGTAGACACCCACACACACGCACACACGCACACACGCACAGCTCTTTATTGACTTTCAGTTTCTATGTCATTAAAGTGGAAACTCTCTTGGGGTAAGTGGGTTACATGCCACATTCCACAATATGTGCTGGGCATCCAGTCAGGTGCCCGACCCCCCACTCCACGCTCAGCCATCTACCCACCTGCTCGATTGCCACATAAATCAGCAACTCATCGACACATTTTTGCCAGGCAAATCATAAATTTTAGTGGGTCTACGCAAAACAAATTTTCACAGCATCGAAATGTCGCAGCGATCTGCTTGCCCCATGTCAAAGTTCCCGCAGCGGCGTGTTGCAGTGCCAACAGCTCCCGGGTAACAACAACAACAAAAACAACAACAACAACAAGAACGGCGGCGGCAGCAACAACAAGTACACTGTAGCCTGGTAACAGCACGGGCTCTACACATGTCTGAGATGTGCCCCAAAGTCCCAGTCGAAGCGCCAGTCGTCGCCAGTTGTCCAGTTGTGGAGTCGCGTCTCTGGCGCGGCTTTTATCCTTGTTTACGCTAAGATGGCGTATTGTATAACATCATTATGTGGACTTCGTTCATGTTCATGTCATAATTTTGCCCAGCCACAGTCGGTCGAAGGAGCCAGCAGCCTCCCGCCTGCAGTCTCCTCTGTGCCGCATTCCGCTGCGCCCACAGTGTATGAAGCGCCAGTCGCCGCATCTCCAGCCGCGCTTGCTCTGAGCTGCGCTTGGAGATTGCGGCATAGGGATTGGGCAATTCCAGCAGAATATCAGCAGCATCAGCATTTGCATCAGCATCGGCATTAGCATCAGCATCAGCATCGGCATCAGAATGTTGTGGCCGCTGTTTGTGCCATGTTTTGGGCTGCGTAATTAAAAATAAATTTTCGCGCGCTGAGCGCACAGGAGCGGAGTGCGGGTGGGAGTTATGTTGGGCTCGCATGTAAGGCATGCAAAAGCTCTTATTCATTCAAATTTGATACAGAATGTTTCATTTTTTGGTGCAGGTGCCAGGTGTACATAGCTTTTGAATTACATTTATTTCCAATTTTCACATTACAGAATTTTTAAAATATTCAAGTGCATTATAATGTGTGCTTATATAAATACCTAAATTGTAATGTATAATTGTGTATAGTTGTCATAGAAAATTCCTATAATCAGATATTGTTTATGTTGTCATCATTGGAATTTTTTTGTTTTTCTTTCTTTGGTTTTTAACTTAATATCCTTTGTCACTTGTTGCCACCTGTTGCTCCGCCCAAATGCGCCTGCTGTCTGCCCGCGAACCGCTCCTGTTACTGAAGGAACTTGCAATACGTTTTTTGTTACTTTTTAATTTAATGAATATTCTGGGACAATTTAT